GAAGGAGGGATGAAGAATGCTGATGGTGAGGAAGAGGATGGTGAGGAGGAGGCTCAGGCGAGGACAGTGTGGTCGCGCAGCAGCCGGTGCAGGAGGCCGAAGGACGGGCGGTCGGCGGCGTCGCGGGACCAGCAGCGCAGCATCACCCCGTGCAGCGCTGCCGGGCAGCCCGGGGGGCACGGCAGGTACTCCTGGGGGCATCACAGGGGTCACAAGGGAACTGGGAGCACTGGGGGCAACTGGGAGTACTGGGTGTAACTGGGAGTAGCATGGGGGCACCCAGGGGGGCACAGCAGGTTCTTCTGAGGACACCCAGGGTCCTCACGGTCCCTCCCAGTACTTCCCAGTCCCCTCCCAGTATACTTTCAGTCCCCTCCCAGTAACCCCAAGTCCCCCTCAGTGTCTTCCCAGTCCCTCCAGGTGCTCTCCAGTGCCTCCCAGCAACCCCAGCATGCCCCCAGTCCCCTCCCAGTGCCTCCCAGTACCTCCCCAGCCCTCTCCCAGTGCCCCCAAGTGCCTCTCAGTCCCTCCCAGTGCCACTCAGCCCCCTCCCAGTCCCTCCCAGTGCCTCCCAGTGCCCACCTGGCGGCCCTGGGCACGGAAGTGGTGCCCGGCGTTGGCGATGACCTGCTCATCGCTCAGGCGCCCGTAGGGCTGCTCGCGGCACCGTGTCAGCACCTCCCACAGCGTCACCCCAAAAGCCCAGGCATCACTGGCTGGCGTGAAGGTCCCCTGCGTGGGGGCAGGGACTAGCATGGACACGACCCCTATGGACACACCCATGCAGGCCCCGCCTACCCCCAGCCAACCTATCCCTGTGCTGCAGCCCAAATCCCCTTAACTCGGCCCAATCCTACTCAAACGCCCCCAAATCCCCTTAACTCTGCCCAAATTCCCCTCAAATGCCCCCAAATCCCCTTAACTCTGCCCAAATTCCTCCAAATGTCCCCAAACTAAACTCCACCCAACTCTGCCCAATTCCCCCTCAAATGTCCCCCAAATCCCCTTAACTCCCCCAATCCCTCCCAAATCCCCTTAACTCCGCCCAAATTCCCCCAAATCACTTAACTCTGTCCAACTCTGCCCAAATCCCCCCAAATCCCCTTAACTCTGCCCCAATCCCCCTCAAACACCCCCAAATCCCCTTAACT